CACCCACATGAGAGAGACCTGGATGAAGCTCCTGGGTGCTGGCTTCAGCCTGGCTCAGTCCAGTCTGCTGTGGCTGTCCGGGGAGTGAACCAACAGATGGAAGACCTTTCTCTTTCTCTGTCTCTCCCTTTCTCTGCAACTCTTTCAATTAAAATAAATTATTTAAAAAAACAATTTCAGGAAAAAAAGGAAAATCAGACATGTCTGTAGCTTATAGTATATTTTTTGGATTAGTTTTTCTAAACAAATTACTGGTCATCTATGAAATTGTTTAGCAAAAAGTAACTTTTTCCATACTCTGAAATCAATGCTACCTGCACTTACAATGAAGTTTTTTTAATTTAAAATATTTTTCATTTATTTATTTTATTTGACAGGCAGAAAGGGCTCAAGATAGGGAGCCCTAGATGAGAGCTGAGAGAGGAGAGAGAGAGAGAGAGACCTTCCTTATGCTGGCTCATGCCTGAAATACCTGCAATAGCCAGGGATGAGCCAGATAGAACTCAATTCAGAACTCCCATGTGGGTGGTGGAGGCCCAACTACTTGAGCCATCACCTGCTGCTTTCCAGGGTGCACATTAGCAGGAAACTGGAATGAACCAGGAATTGAACCCAGGCACTCTGATATGGGATGCAGGCATCCCAAGCGATATCTAAACCACTACACCAAATACCTGCCCCTATAAATATTTTTCCAGTATATGTCCATTGTATGAAACACTAAAAAAATCTAAAAGGAAAGCAGTGATCACCTACATGCCCGCCCCACAGAGGTAACTATTGTTGTTTTTTTGTTTTTGTTTGTTTGTTTTGACAGGCAGAGTGGACAGTGAGAGAGAGAGAGAGACAGAGCTCACCCTCCAATGGCTGCCACGGCCAGCATGCTGCGGCCTGCGAACCACGCTGATCCGATGGCAGGAGCCAGGTGCTTCTCCTGGTCTCCCATGGGGTGCAGGGCCATCCTCCACTGCACTCCCTGGCCACAGCAGAGAGCTGGCCTGGAAGAGGGGCAACCAGGACAGAATCCGGCGCCCCGACCGGGACTAGAACCCGGTGTGTCAGCGCCACAAGGTGGAGGATTAGCCTAGTGAGCTGCGGCGCCAGCCCCAGAGGTAACTATTGTTACAGTCAAACCCACTCTCTTCCAGTACTTTTTCCTGTATGCATAGATGCACAACATTGATTGCAGGCCGGTAAATCTTGTAATGATCTTTGACCAAAAACAATAAAATCTAAGATTTAAAAATAGAAGATAAAGTTGTGCCTTCCAAACCTATCACCATCTGAATTTAGGTTTGGTAACTTTAGGATGTCTTTTTTGGTTTCGAGGTCATTTAGAAAACTTCCTGTTCATCAGCATCACTTACATTCTGGAGTTATCTTTTCAGATACTAAGGAGACAAAGATAGACCAAAACTCCTGTTGAAGTCTGTCCTTGATTTTGAGTCTTTGGCAGAAGAAAAAAAGTAATTAAATGTCCCATTCATCCCACGTTGTCTGGTGTTTTTGAAATACATAAGCCCACGAGGCCGGCGCCGCGGCTCACTAGGCTAATCCTCCGCCTTGCGGTGCTGGCACACCGGGTTCTAGTCCCGGTCGGGGCGCCGGATTCTGTCCCGGTTGCCCTTCTTCCAGGCCAGCTCTCTGCTGTGGCCAGGGAGTGCAGTGGAGGATGGCCCAGGTGCTTGGGCCCTGCACCCCATGGGAGACCAGGAGAAGCACCTGGCTCCTGCCTTGGCTCAGTGCGGTGCGCCGGCCGCAGCGCGCCAGCCATGGCGGCCATTGGAGGGTGAACCAACGGTAAAAAGGAAGACCTTTCTCTCTGTCTCTCTCTCTCTCACTATCCACTCTGCCTGTCAAAAAAAAAAAAAGAAAGAAAAAAAAAGAAAAAGAAAAAAAAGAAATACATAAAGCTGGGAACACGTTGGGGCACAGCAGGTTAAGCCGGCTTCTGTGATGCCAGCATTCCATATGAGTCCCAGCTGCTCTACTTCGGATCCAGCTCCCTACTGAAGCACCCGGAAGGCAGTGGAAGACGGCCTAAGTGCCTGTGCCCCTGCCACTTATGTTGGAGACCCACATGTAGTTCCAGGCTCCCAGTCTCAGTCTGACCCAGCTCTGGCTGTTGGGCACCATTTGGGGGGTGACCCAGTGGATAGACCACCTCCCTCTTGCTCTCTCTGTAACTCTGCATTTTAAATAAATAAAATAAATCTTTTTTTAAATTCATAGGCCTTTGACATCTAAAAGTGCTCCTTATCATAATTAATAATGACTCCCCTAAATCACTCATGTAGAGGAAATACATGTTCAGAGTACTCACAGATGACGACCTTTCATGGATTCACCAGAGTTTTCGAACCATAGCCCTTGAAGACCAGACACGTGCGTCAGCTCAGGCAGCTGAAGGAGGCAGCAGTAGCAAATGAAGGAAACTGGGCTGGATGAGGATCGATCTGGGACCTCATCAATGCCACCACCTTCTAGACAAAGGTCAGTGTAATTACACTGCTTTACGTAAAGGGGCCTATGAACACCTAGAATAACAGAATGGATAAACCACATGGTGATATTTTCTTTAGAAAAGAACTCTTTCCCAGAGACTTGCTTTAAATAACAGGCTCCCAGGGCCGGCTTTGTAGCACAGCTGGTTAAGCTGCCATCTGCATTCTGTATGGATGCCAGCTGGAGTCCCGGCTGCTCCACTTCCAATGCAGCTCCCTGCTAATGCACCTGGGTAAGCAACAGAAGATGGTCTGTATGCTTAGGGCCCTGTCACCTACGTGGGAGATCAGGATGGAGTTCCAGGCTCCTGGCTTCAGCTTCAGTTAGCCCTGGTTGTGCAGTGAACTGGCATATGGAAGATATTCTCTCTCTCTCTCTCTCTCTCTCTCTCTCATGCTATCTTTCAAATAAATAAACAAAACAAATCTTAAAACAACAACAAGCTCCCTCTGCAGACTTAAACCAGTGGTCGACTTTATTGAAATGCACTTTATGGGAACTGGCTCCCAGGAGTCTTGTATACAAAAACTTCCTGTTTTGCTGCGGAATCTTTTAAAAATTTCTGTTTGACACATTTAACACAATATGTACTTACCAAAGTTTCATTTTAATTAGAGGGAAAATAACTGTCAGTTAAGAGAGGCAAGTTCCATTAGCTTTCTACCTCAAGGCCTTTTTCATCCTGTGTGGAATATAAAATGGTATTTTTAAAGGCATAAAACATGGAAATGCTGTATACTTTCAAAATAGTTGTGAAATGCCTGCACCCAGGAATTTCAGGTCTCAAGGTCACTATTTTTTTTTAATTTATTTTTATTTGCAAGTCAGAATTACAAAAAGAGTGAAGGAGAGGAAGAGAGAGAGAAAGAGAGAGAGAGAGGTCTTCCATTCGTTGGTTCATTCCCCTATTGGCCGCAAGGGCCAGAGCTGCGCCCATCAGAAGCCAGGAGCTTCTTCCGGGTATCCCACGCGGGTGCAGGGGCCCAAGGACTCAAGCCATCTTCTACCGCTTTCCCAGGCTGAGAATCCCGCAAAGAGCTGGATTGGAAGTGGAGCAGCTGGTACTCGAACCGGCGCCCGTATGAGATGCCAGCACTGCAGGCGGCAGCTTTACCCACTACGCCACAGCGCTGGCCCCTCAAGTTTACTATTAACACAAGCTTCACAAAACTCATGCGAGGTAAAGTGTTCAATTCCTAGGCACAAAAATCCTTTTATAAAAACTTACTTATTTGCAAGGCAGAGTTACAGAGTTACAAAGAGAGCAGCAGAGACCTCCCATCTGCTGGTTTACTCCCCAAATGAATGCAACAGCCAGAGCTGGACCAGGCCGAAGCCAGGAGCCTGGAACTCCACCCTGGTCTCCCTTGTGGGTGGCAGCGGCCAAAGTACTGGACCATCTTCTGCTGCTTTCCCGGCCATAAGAAGTAAAGCAGCTGGGACTCCAATCAGTGCAGGAGGCCGAGCGGGCGGTTAACCCATTGTACCAGAACGCAGGCCCCTATTGGTTTTAATAATGAATCACTTTAATTCTTTATGTAATTTTATAGGCACAAAATAAGGCATGAAGGGTTACATAATTTGCCAGGCCCCGTACAAAACGAAAACGAAGGGGCCCTTGTTTAAGCAGAACTTCAGGAGGTCAAAGCAGAGACACTGCACAGGTCGAGAACCAGGAGGGCCAGGAGCGGCGCTCCAGCCAGAGGGTCTGCACATCCCCGGCCCCACCCCATAGCGTGCTGGGGGCCGGATGGATGTTGGCCTCTCAGCACAGCCACGGGTCACCCCCAAGTCACTGGGACACAGAACCATAAACCAGAACAGTTTTCTTTCCCTTTATTTAAAAAACACGGGCTTTACGACGAGTTGCCTTACAGAAGCGGCACATGGTTGGCAAAGTGCTGGGGCCCCGTCCCTGTCGCCCTCAGGGCACTTCTCCCCAGGGACGCCGGTCGCCATCGCCCGTGGAAACCCTGAGAGAGATGTTGCCTTGCTGGGGACCTTTCCCCGGCTTCCGCCCGCCCAGAGCGGCACCTCGGGCTCACCTGGGCCCTTAGCTCCCCACGCAGGTCCCCAGCGCGTCCCTGCCAGCCTGCAGGCCGGCCGCCCGGCCCCTGCGCGCCCGGCTGCCTTCCCGCGGGCCTCGGCCTCGCTGTCCGCTCCGGGGGACAGCACCAGGACCCAGGACCCGGGCGGCAGGGTCCGGCCTCGAGGTGGCGCAGCGCCCCCGCCGCCCGGGTGCAGCCCGCGTCCCCCGCGCCCCGAGCCCCGCTCCCCGCTGCGGGCGGGAGCCGAGCCGCCGCCCCTGGAACGGCGGAAGCCCCGCGGCCTGAGCGTGCGCAGCGCCCCCCGCGGCCGCGCCCGGCCCGCGCGCCCCCTCCCCCGCCGCCGGCGGTGTCCGCGCCCGCCCCTGATTTCCTCCGCGCGGTGGCGGCGGTGGCGGCGGCGGCGGCGGCGCCTCGTGAGCACGGTTATTTATTTATTTCCGGGCCCCGGAGCGCTTATAATGGAGCCGCTGTCAGCACAGCCTCCCGCCGCCACCGCCGCCGCCGTCCCTCCTCTTTTTTTTCCCGGCAGATCTTTGTTGTGTGGGAGGGCAGCAGGGATGGACTTGAGCTTGCGGATCGCTTGCTAGAGCAGCCGCGCTCGGAGAGGGCGCCGCCGCCGCCGCCGCCGCCGCCGCCGCCCGAGGCCCCGCCGGACGCGGCCTCCGTGCACTCGCGCCCTGCTCGCCGCTCGCCCCTCGCCTCGCGCACAGTCCCCTCGCGGCAGCAGATGTGTGTGGGGCCAGCCCACGGCGAGGACTATGGTGAAATTCCCGGCGCTCACGCACTATTGGCCCCTGATCCGGTTCCTGGTGCCCCTGGGCATCACCAACATCGCCATCGACTTCGGGGAGCAGGTAAGCCCCGGGCGCGCCGCCCCGCGCCGGAGCCGGAGCCCTAGAGCCGGCGCCGGGCGCGCTCCGCCTCGGCCTCCGCCGCCGGGCGCCGGGGGAGGGGGCGGAGGGGAGTCACCTGCTCCGAGTCCCTTTTCATCCAGGAGCGCCGGGTGGCCTTGGCAGCGTGTCTGGAGCGACTTTTCCCTCACCCCAGTCCCTTCCTTCCCCCCCCCAAGATTCCGCAGACTTTCCCAGCTCGCGCTGGAAAATGTTCAGCAGACCGGCTGGTGGGGAAGTTCGCCTATAGACGGATTCCCAGTGCACGGGAGTCTTATGTAATTTACAATTATGTAAACCGCAGGTCTGTGACCCAAACGTTGTTCCTGGGAGCTCCAGTGCTGGGTTTCTCTTTCCCCGGGGCGATGGTGATGGGGAGCTTTCGTAGTATCTTGTAGCCGAGTTGATTTCCCAGGTAGTTCTCATGAGATGTGTTTTGCAGCTAAAGTCAGCCAGTCTTGGGGGTGCCCCACGTGTGTCCTGATGAGCCCACCCCTGGTCATGTCTAGTTCGGGTTGCCTTCCCTCCCTATCTCCTTGAGCCCCCGAAGAAGGGGAGCAATGTGCGTGTGCGTGTGAGAGAGAGAGAGAGAGGTGCAGCCTCCCTGTCCTTGTTTCTTTTTCGCGTTTTCTCCATGTGGCGTCATTGCAAAGGCGATGCTGCAGGCTCTCCGGTGGTGGCGGTGGCCCCCTGGCACTGGTACCCTGCACTCTGCCTCTAGGGACCGTTTGTTGCTGGGCCTCCGGCGGGATGCGGTTGCACTCCAAGGCCCAGGAGAGGATTTGGGTATGGGAGCTGCTTATTTTCACAAGTCTAACATAAATCTACTTTTTGCAAAGCGGTGCATTGCTCCTCTCTGCTGTGCTTCAAAGCAGTTGGCGTAAAATGCGGTATTCATTACGAGTTTTTACGGAGGAGTTCTAGGCAGATGGACACAGGCAGGTCCTGCCACCGCGTGGGCAGGTGCGTTCCGCCTCCCTGGGAGTAAATGATGACTCATATGTCAGAAATTTACGAATCCTCAGGTGGAGAGGTGACACGGGAAGGCAAAGGTAAACGCAGCGTCTGGTTCTCATGCTTTGGAGCTGATTCAGAAACGCAAAATGAAAAAGTCTTGGCTTTTAAGTCTCTGACTTGTCAGGAACAAAGGGGTAATAAAATCTCTTGAAATATTTCTTAGATGAGCTTTATTTTGTTATAAACATCACAGTTTTGTGGTTTCTTTATAAACCATGGAAAGAACTTTTAAAATGGAAATCCAGCTACATTCAAGATTCCACCGCAAGTCCAATAAGCTGCATGTATTCCACTATGCAAAGGGATTACCTGCGAATGGTCCCAGAGCTATTAGTGTGTGTGTGGGTGGAGGGGGTGATAGGAAGCCCTGGTCTACCCACAGCCCCCTGATACTCTGCATGAATGGTGTCTGTTGGATACAAAATTCTGTCATTTTATCGCTCACTCAGGAAACCCATTCTTGCAAAACTAGCAACTGTTATTATCTCCTTTAAAAAAATGTTAGTGGTGGTAGTCTTTTGAGAGGGAAGGATGGAAATAAATTCTATGCAGAGAAGGGGGAAATGATATGGAATAGAATGAATAGAATAGAATGACCTGCTTTTTTTTTTTAAGATTTATTTTATTTATTTGAAAGAGTTACAGAGAGAGATAGAGCCAGAGAGAGGTCTTCCATTCTCTGGTTCACTCCCCAAATGACTGCAACAACCAGAGCTGAGCTGATCTGAAGCCAGGAGCCAGGAGCTTCCTCCAGGTCTCCCATGTGGGTGCAGGAACCCAAGGACTTGAGCCATCTTCCACTGCTTTCCCAGGCCACAGCAGAGAGCTGGATCGGAAGTGGAGCAGCCGGGACTCGAACTGGCACCCATATGGGATGCCAGCACTGCAGGCAGCGGCTTTAACCCACTGTGCCACAGCGCCGGCCCCAATGACCTGCTTTTAAAAAACATGAGCATCATAGAAAGAATGGGAATTATTGTAAAAACTAATATGTAGGATCCTATAGGTAGGTAAAACACTTTCTGATGATTGTATATATGGAGTTATCATTTTGTCTGCATTCTTACAGATTGAAAAATAAAAGTGTACATCGCTTGCATTCATTAGTCACCTAGTAGATGCGTGCAGTGTCCGAGCACAGGTTGCATATGAGGAAAGAATGAGAGGCCTAGCGATGGTAAGTCGTTCGCCCAGGATCACAAGTGGCACAGCCAAGGCTCGCCCCATCACCACCGGCTTCGTCCAATCAAGCTTATGTGCTGAGATCTGCCCAGGAGTTCTTAGAAACACAGGAATAAGTTCTGTCTTTTCTGATTCTCAGCCTGGGTTCAAATGTGATATTCACTATCCTATATTGAATTCTATAGACTCAGCAGATATGGGACAATCATAAGAAGGGCTCCAGGGAAAAAGGTGACCAAGAAGTTCTTAGGAGAAGAGCTGATTTGCCCAGGTAATTAAACCAACATCGGATCTTAATTTAACAAATGGGCAGAGCCGGCGCCGTGGCTCAATAGGCTAATCCTCCACCTTGCGGCGCCGGCACACCGGGTTCTAGTCCCGGTCGGGGCGCCGGATTCTGTCCCGGTTGCCCCTCTTCCAGGCCAGCTCTCTGCTATGGCCAGGGAGTGCAGTGGAGGATGGCCCAGGTGCTTGGGCCCTGCACCCCATGGGAGACCAGGAAAAAGCACCTGGATCCTGGCTCCTGCCATCGGATCAGCGCGGTGCGCCGGCTGCAGCGGCGGCCATTGGAGGGTGAACCAACGGCAAGGGAAGACCTTTCTCTCTCTGTCTCTCTCTCTCACTGTCCACTCTGCCTATCAAAAAAAAAAATAAATAAAAAAAAAAAAAACAAATGGGCAGAGCCCCTGATCAAGAGGAGAAAGAAAAGATAAGAGACAGCTGATGCCTCACAGGGACAGTATTTGGAAATCCTTTAGGCTTTATCATTGCAACAATACTGATTGCTGATGAAAGAAAGTGTCCTGAGATGTGTTTTAAACTGTTCATTTCCTTCACTTGTCTGCAAGTGTCTTTGTCATCTCACCGTGCTCACCTGTTGTTTCTGTTTAAAGCTGAACTTGGTACAAAGTCCCTGATTGCCTTAAAAGCCACATTTACTTTGTTTAAGGGTCTTGATGAGTCTTAAAATGTTAAAGACAGCTTTGGCAAGGAGACTGTGAAAAAGAGAAGAACATTGCTGTTGTTCTCGCTGAAGAAGAAATGTGTTGTGCCTGGTGCTAGCCAGTGCCCTCTGTCGCCCTCAGGTGATAACAGGATATTTCCTAGTGTCCTGGATGATTCACTGACTTAGGTTGGGTCCAGTCTGGTAATTCAGGGACCTGCAGTGTTTATCTCTGATGGGAAAGTTTAAAAGTGTGAGTAGGAGTGTTAAAAAATTTCCCAGACTCCCCATTTCTATTTTAGGAGAGCCTTTTCTAGTTCAGTAAACCCAGATGTGGGCCTCTACAGTGTAAGAGGGTCTGGAATTTTAATATCACAAAATGTGAAAAAAATGAGAATCCCAGGAAAAGAGCTTAATAAATGTTCTTGTTTACCAAGTAGAGACATGCACCTTCTTCCTCCCAAAATCAACCAAACCCAAATTTTCCACCAGAAGAGGAGTTACGGGAATAGAAAAGGGTGGATGTGCTTGGTGGCACTGAGGGAACTCTCTTTAAGGTCCTTCCTACTGGGAAGGGACTCCCCATCCAGGGCCACTGAGCTGGGAAGACAGCTCCCCAGGCCGCGCTGGCTTTGAATAATCAGTGTTTGTCATGTCCCACTTTCCAGAGTACTTAAAAATAGAAATGCAAAGGCTAAATTTCTAAGTAAATGTAGGGGAAACTCCCCCCACCAGTCTATTCTATAGCAATAGAATAAGCTTCAAAATTATTATTGTTTTTTTCCACTTATGAATTATTTGAAATTGTACATTTTTAAGATGAGTATATGTGTAGTGTGTGAACTATAATATATATAATGTGGTATGAATGTATATATGAAATGTTTCACAGAATAGGGAAACATTTTCCCCACGTCATTTAAAAGTATTTGAGCATGATTATAAATGGCAACCCTAAATTTGATTATATGAGCATATGGCAGTTCCTGTTGCTGCGTGTCACCCTATTGTTTAAACACTGAAGTATTTTGTTTGGTTTTTGCAATGGAGAATTTCAGTGGGCATCTTTGTGTGGTGAGTAGATAATGTGCTTTCTCCAGCTGCCTTAGGCTTTCTGCCTGGTGGACTTTGGTGCCTATTTCAGTTTGCCATTCATACACAGAATATGAGGTCACACCGTGTCAGTGTCCATATTTAGTCAAGGACACTGTGACCTCCTTGGTCCAGTTGATCCTCCTGTGCCTACTGTTTCCCAGTTGTCTTGAGACCACATGCCCACTTAGAGTACGTCTCTTGGGTGCTTAGGTAAGCAGGTTGTTTTGAGAACCGCAGAGGCTGATCTACTGCTTGTTGGCTTATTCAGTGAGGTGGTTTGGTGGCCAGCTTAAACACCACCTGTCCATAATGCTTCCTTCCAGGCACGTCTTTCATACCTCGAGACAATAACTATGTCACTTTCTAGTAATAGCACAAATTCTTTAAAAGTCATCTTAACATGTACAGTGTGATATTGCTTACAGTACATAGCACTTTTTTATTATTTTTCACATTTTCATTTATTTGAGAGGTAGAGAGAAAGAGATCTTCCTACTGCTAGTTCACTGCACAGATGCTCACAACAGCCACAGCTTAGTCAGGCTGAAGCCAGGAGCCAGGAATCTGTACTTGAGCCATCATCTCCTGCCCTCCCAGGATGCACACCGGCTGGAAGCTGAGGAGAAGCTATAGTGGGACTTGATCCTGGGTATTGTGATACGTATACACAGGCATCTCAAGCAAGAGGGTTGACCGTTCATACTGCAACGCCTGCCCCATTGCACCT